GATAAGAAATGGATTGCTTGATGGTTGTGATGCATGGATACACGTGGGACTAAAGTCGTCTACGATGGATTTCGAGACGTTGCCGAATGGATTTCGGATGTCTGGTAAATTCCGGATGCCCAATGGATTTCGGATACCCGATAAATTTCGGAAGAACCGAGGGATTTTGGTTAAGAATGAATGAATCTCGTATGTTCTATTTATGCATGCATCATTTATATACCATGCTTGATGTTCTCTTGGCAATTGTGTGCACCATGAATAGTACATAGGCAAGGTAAGAAATACATTTGCTATTGATTTGCCATCGATACCCGGGGTGATAAGGTTGGATGCGTGTCCGGCGATGATTGATTTCTCCTCACTTGAAATTAGAAGATTTACTTATTGAGTCGATGACTCACTCCTCGTTGTTTTTCCCATACTTGTAGGATGGCAGCCCCTCCCGTCCGCTTCGGCACCCTGGTTGAGATAGAGGTAGAGGCAATAGATGTGATCGACGGTCGTGAGAATCGCGCATATTGCCGCGTCACTACTCACATGATGGTGGATGAGGGATTTGATAATCCCGTGCCGGATACCTATGTGGCCTAGTATACGTGGGCGGATGGCGACCTAATGGGACCCCTTCTTGGGTTTGACGGACCATTTGGAGGACCTGGCAGTTCCGTGCCCGAGGGTGCCATGAGTGGTGTGTAGGCGGACCGGAGTAATAGGGGAAGAATGCAACTTTTTGGGAGCTCGTTTTGGGAGGAACTTTTGTGGAGGACCTTTTTTGAAGAAAACCACAGTAGCGGGGCTAGGCATAACCTAACCGTGTTTGTTATAGCGGAAATATGTGTGTGAATTGGCCCGTAAAAAGAAGGGACATGTAAAATGGTTTGGCTTGTAATGTATATATAAGCTGTCATGTAAATACAAGATTTGCTTACGATGCTTGTCTTAACCTCGTTATCTAATCTTGTTGTGATTGTCCCGATTTCATGCTTCCGCTTGTTCGTAAAGAAAGATAAAAATAAACGGGACGTCGTAAAGTAAGCCATGGGTCACGGTCTTGACCGTGACGTGACAGCCCTTGCCTAGGCTTATAAAGATTATTTGATTTTTTAAATTTCTTTCTGAAGTAATTAAATTATATAAACAATAATATTCTTTTATCTAACTTTTTTTATAGCGATATGTATACTGAAAATCCTAAAACTAGTCATAAAAGTGCAATTGAGTTCTAAAACTTACAAAAAGTACAATTAAGTCCTAAAACTTATCAAATTGATGCAATCAAGTACTTTCATTAACTTTGTCTAATCAAGCTAATGGAATGCTGACATGGCTTTTATTTCTCTCTCCTACATGGCGCTGACGTGGCTAACAACGTCGTTTTAGTCCAAATTTGATGTTTAATAAGAAATTTAAAATTAATTCTAAAATAAATTAAAATTAAAAAAGGAAGGGAAACCAGGCGAGGGTTGCCCTTGTCGCCGCTGCCTCGCCATTGCGGGTGATGATGATGGATGGTCGGCCAAGGGTCGGCGAGGGTCGCTGGGCTCCGGCTAGTTGTCACGTTCCGACCCGGAATCACGATCGATACTTAATGACCGAACATGACCCGAACGGAACCGTGACTCGCGGAAACAAATTAGTGCGTCCCATTCATTTTAATCAATGCGCACGCGGAAGCAAATATAAATAGAACATCACAATATCAACATAAGCAAACTTCGCACGTTATATTTACATGATACGTGCTTATTTTCACAAGCCTTACTCTCGGGCCATGTAAACCGCACACATATATTTTACATGCCCATTTCAAGAGCGATTCCGAAAAACAAGCCAACTAGCGAACAAACAAAACTTTGGCTTGGGGTCCCTAACTCTACTACGGCTTTTCTTGCTCCTCGCTTCTTGGTCCTCCCGTTCCCCATCCGTCCGGCCGTCTCACGCCCTACCTGCGGCTTACCCTGGAGCCGGCCTGCCTATGCCGTTAAATGGACCGTTGAACCCGCGTAGGGGTCCAAACCAATCTCCGTTAGCCAAACGGTACTATGCCACGTACATATGAGGGACCAATTCCTCGCGACCCTCATCCACCATCACGTACATGATGATCCTACGATAGGCGCAGCCTTCACGGGCATCAATTACGGTGAGCAACTCTGCTCTCATCTCGATGGGGCTACCAAACCGGGTTAAAGGAGACGCCATACTACAGACCTGAAAAGAGGAAAAAAACAACGGGAGTGAGTTGAGGAGACTCAATAAGTGAAAACACTAATATCAAGCGAGGATGAAACAATCACCATTCACATAAGTTGGCTCTTATCATACCGGCATCGATGGCAAATCAATAGCAAAGTTCGTGCTACGAAACAGCAAAAGAACATCAAACATGATTATCACATGTGAACATCACTTGTCAAAGAAAGAACAAGCTATAATCGACCAAGTAATCAAGAAACAGCCCAAGCAAACCATGTTACAATGTATCGCAACTTCCTTTCCCGATATTAGGGAATACACTTACTCAACATAACACTAGAGCACATGAGAACACGTGAGAAGAAAGAAAGCAAGTGGCGTATGGCTTGAGCACGGGAAAAACGAGGCCTTAGGCAATTTTCTAACGTGGCTTCCTAGTTGGCCGAACAAAAGGAAAGGTTGGTGGGGCTTCTTTGGGCGTGAATTGAGGAAGCAAGAAAGCAAAAAGAAGAAGATGATGGCTGGTTGGTGGAAGTGTGTGTGCGTGAGGTATGTGGGGGCTCCTTCACGTGAGCTTCTTGCTCCATTTATAGAAAGCCAAGCTTGAAGAAGAAGCAAGGCAATAATGGTAGGGCATCCAAGTCAAGGAAGCCTTGATGGCATTAATGAACTATGGCCAAAGGATATGATGAAGTGCCATTAAGAGACTTTAAGGTGGCCTTATCTCTTCTTGGTCTCTCTCTCTCTCTCTCTCTCTCTCTCTCTCTCTCTCTCTCTCTCTGGGCTCCCTGTCTTGGCCGACTCCCCCCCTCCCTTATTTTATATGTATTATTGGTGACCATGAGTAACCTTGCAGCCTTAATAAAGCTGAACAACTCAGCTGCTCAGCAATAAAGAAGGGGGACACCTAAGCAAGTCCAATAATGGTGGCCTTAAATGGCTTTTAAAGGGCATTTGACTTGGTCAACTATTTTGTTCTTCTCACTAGCTTAACCGTGAGCCTTGTTTGGATTGCCTGAACATGCTGGTTTCACCCACAAATAACTTGGGCCAATCGGTTTACACAAAATCGACTAATTAATACTAAATTCGCAACCCCGTATCATATTCGTTCAACTTATTTTCCGAGGGTTTTCCACGCTTGATATACCCGTTCAACCCGAGGTTTGATGTAGAAGGACCTCCACATATGGTCAAGTATGACCAATCAAAGGTCTAAGTCCATTGGTGACCAATTCGGGCCAGCCGAGTTGCCTAGGCATGTGGCTTGTCTGATTGGGCCTGACCGGGCGCATGCCTGGCATGCTGCCGGGCCGCACGAGCGCATGGCCGAGCACATGGCCCGGCGTGTAGCCGAGTGCACGGGCGCGGTGCCGGGCTGCACGAGTGACACGCCGAGCACGACACCAGCTGCACGAGCAATGTGCCGAGCACAATGCCGACCCGCACGAGCAAGGGGCCGGTTCATGGGTCTAACACATGCATTGGCTCATGCATGGGTACAAGGCATGGCTCATGGCCAAGTCCATTGGGTACAGGACTAGATCGAAACCGGATCTAACGGGCACGTTGCCTGGCACAAGGGTCAAGTACAATGACTGACACACGACCGGGCACGTAACTGGTCTATGGCCTAGCTGACGGGCACGATGGCCGGTCATGTTCGAGTACGACCGTATGAGACCTGGTCGGCGCAGCTGGCACATAGCCAAGCCCGCGGCCTAGCTATTAGGCTCGTGGCTCGGCACATGGCTCGCCCATGGCCAATCCAACTCGACGCAACGATCCGTGGCCGACTCGTGACCGGTCCATGCTCGAGTATCAACGACTCATGGTCGACCCTCGGTTGTCATGTAGCCTCGTGGAATTCAGTATCCCGGACTTAACTCATGGTCATCTGTGACCGATGCATGTCCGTGCGGCATCACCCGCTGCCGACACATGCCGACACCGGACTAATCCATAGGTATCCCGGACTGTCCCACTAACGGCCCTTATGGTCGAAGGGTCAATTTACAGTCATATCACTCTAATCGTCTGGCGTGAGCGAAGAGTCATTCCACTGTCGATCTCTAGGTCAATTCATGGACAATCTTTCGATCGAATCATGACCAACCCTCAGTACACTCGTTCTGACCATATTGCACGTTCCATTACCAACCCTCAGTTCGGACTACTTGCCCATTCATTGATCACTTGCCCTTGGCTCCTAAGCCCAAATTCGGGGATGTCACACTAGTGGCCGGCGACCCTCGTTCAGATCAAGCCAAGAGCTGCCACTAGTGGGGGTCAGTCGCCACTGGCGACGCTCGGCTAGATGTGGGCCAAGGCCAGCAACCCTCGCATAGAAGGCGCTCGCTTGCGATTGGTCTTTGGCCACTAGCTAGGGCCCGACGACCCTTATCGATCCTTGGTCGGCCATCCCCACCATCACCGGCCCTTCCTAGCTATGGTGAGGGAGGCTGTGGCGAGGGCCATGTAGGCATTCACTGTTTTCCTTCGTTCCTCTTCTTCTTTTTTTCTTTTAATTTAATTTTTAATCTAATTGAAATAGTATTTAAATTAAAAAATTATATTTTGACCAAATCAATGTCGTTCTAGTTTATTTTTTTCGTATTTTAGCCACGTTATCGCCGCATGAAAGAGAACCTAATGAAAAAAAAATCACCTTAACATCTTGACAGAGTTAATAGAAGGACGTAATTGCATCAATTTGATAAGTTAAAGGGATTTGATTCAACTTTCCGTTGCACTTACCTTTTTTATATTCCAGTGAGTTCAAAGTCATTTCAATGGGGGCTAATCGCCGACTCACTTTCTTGTCCCGAAGCTAAAGGATCAACCTTTCACCGTCTCGCTCGCTCCCTCCGTGCTCTGTGATTCCATGGAGTCGTCACCTTCTTCTTCTTCTTCTTCGTCTTCTCGACAACGGGCTTTCAGTTCTTCTCGTCGCCGCCGCCGCCGCCGCCGCGAGAAATCCCTCTCCGGCGCGATCCTCCCTTCGATCCGAGGCCAATCCTGTCCGATATGCCTCGAGGACATCGAGGCCAGGGGGCGCGGAGCTGCCGTCGTCGCCAACTGCCTGCACGCCTACTGCATCGACTGCATCCGCAGGTGGAGCGGGCTGAGGAGGAGGTGCCCTCTCTGCAACGCCGAGTTCGGCTCCTGGTTTCGCGAGACCGCCGGCCCCTGCCGTCGCGGGCGTTTTCTCGAGGAGCGGTTGCCTTCGGCCGACGAGGGCGGCGAGGCCGATCGAGGAGCTGGTTCGGGCCCCGTCGTTCGTCGGGGGTTAGGGTTTTTCTTTGTCCGCCGTTCCAGTTCCCGAAAGTTTTGTTTTTTTTTTTATTTGGTGGGCGGTGAATTGGCTTTTGAACGGATTTTCCATTTGAGTGCATTGCAATTTCATTGGAATGTTGTGTTTCGTAATATTGGAAGGGGGCATTTAGATGTTGGAATTTGGGGCGTTCTTTGAAGTCGAATCTACTGATTTAGTGTGAAGTATGAGCCTCAAGTACTGAGTTTGGATGTTCAGGGAGTAGATGATTGCATTGGTTATTCAAATTACAAACGATCGTGTTAATAAAATGATTCTAATTTGTGAAAGTATCATCAAATCAGAACTTTGTTAAAACATTAGATATGCTGGAGAATTCAGATTCTTTCGAACCTTAAGGGCTATCGTAAACCAATCCCAACTATGGTCAATGTTGTATTATTGTGTTTTGACCTCATGCACGAGTTTCGTTGGCACGTGAATAAAAGTCGAGTATTTTTGCTTTATAGAGCTATCCGAAGATCAAGAGATGAGTTGAATGGTTCCACCCGGCGAACCAGACCAGATCCATGGCGAAGATCATTTGGGAGGCCGGGCTCTGTTCCTCCTGATGTTTTAGCCACAAGAAAACTCCAATGGCGTGCCAGGTACACAAAAACAACTGTGAAAATGGTCAGTTTTAGATTGGTTCACTTCAGTCTATTTGACATCCAGTCGCATGCATTATTGTGGATAATATGTTCCTGTCTTAGGAGTACGATTAAATGTGTCATCTCTATCCTCAATAACCTGTGTTATATATACCCATATTTGAATAGTTTGTAGTAGCCACTCGTTTTGTTGTTCCATTTTCTGAGAATGCAATATTTTTCTTCTGTCCAGCATATACAACCGACACTTGCAGGCTGTTCCTTCTTCCAGGAACTCTCAGGTATATAAACTTACCATACCACTGATTTCAGTCAGTTTTCTTCTCTGTGTATTCGAAATCCTTTAGTGGTCTAGGTAATAGGTATGCTCTTAGTATACTAGTCATCTGTTACTTTTTTTTTTTGTATTTAAGAAGTATGTGGCTTCTGTTCATACAAATGAAGGGACTGCTTTTGCATTTACATTCATGGGGAGATAACGTTTTTGGTTTGGCTTTTGAGAGAATCAGTTTTGTCACTTCTCTGCACAAATTGTAAGTCCTAATCTAGTTTCTTGATTAATTTTAGTCACCGGTGTTTTAAATACCAGAGCAGTGCAGGGTCAGGACAAGCTCGTATTTCACAGCTCAACCAGTTAAACTGCTTCTTCAATTTTTGCTGTTGAATTCATATCCAATGTCTAAAATGTGATAATACGCCCAAAGACACAAACATAGTCTCAGTTGGCAAAAGGTTGCATTTCCTCAAGAGCATGGGTTTCATCCTTTTTCCCTACCAAATTAATGTTTCATGCAGAAGTATAGCCTACAAGTGAATTTGAAATCCATCATTTGACCTTTAATCTAATCCAAAGAGAGCACATTCAGTTAAGCTCTTGAATTTGGGTGAACATTTTCCAAGGGGTGGACTTCCTGTTCCAGCATGCTAAAACTTTGAGTAGTGTATAATTCAGTCGAGCTGGGTTGAGAGTTGAATTGGTTAAAACCTGACGCAACTGATTTTGACCGGTGAGAGTTTGGGGAAGAATATCGGACTGGATCCAAACCCACTTCCTAGTTCAACCAACCCGCCTTTATGGTTTGAGAATATGGTTTTCAAATCAAGCTTCACTGCTTTTTTCCCCCTTTCTCATAGATCGTCAATTCTTTAGTTCGGTAAATTTTTCATCTCTTCACCTCCTCATTTTCCCTTTTTTGGTTTGTAATAGCTTCAAAATTGTTCTTGTCATTCCAGGGCTTGCCAAGAGATAGTGGTTGGAAGGAAAGGATTCGACAGAGAATAGAATCATGGATTCGGAGGGAGTTAGAGGCCATCCTTGGGGACCCAGATCCTTCTGTTATAGTTCATGTAGTGACCTCAGTGTTTATTTCGACCTTTGAGAAGAAACAAAATGTCCCACATGGACAGCTGGGTGAAGATGTGGTTGCTTCTCTACGGCCTTTTCTACATGAACAGACCAATATGTTCTGGCATGAATTAAGGTTTGTGAATTACATCCGAAGTTTCATGGAAGCTGCTTCCATCTGTGATTTGGAGTCTTATGCTGTTTGCAAAAAGGTAGAATACCATGTGTGTGTGTTTATGGGTAGAAGGAAGACTTTGATAGATTATCTTGCTTTTTCTGATGCTGATTCCCAGATTAGAATTTGATTGAACTAGGGCTTTGTCCCAATGGGGAGATTTACCTTTTAATGTCAAATTGATGCTTTCTGCGTGTTGTTGTATATCTTCTTGTGTAAACATATACTAGTTGTAATTGTTGTTGCAGATGTTTTGCTGAGAGTTCGCTCTCTATGGAAACATATGATGCAGTCGTCGAGTACAGGAAGTTGCAATAGCTGTCAAAGGTGGATTTTGTTTCTGTCCAGGATGAGGAGGATATCATGTAGGAGGTGCATATATAAGCATTAACAGGATGCTGATTAGAGGAAATCTGCAGATCTAAAACTGCTTCAAATGCGAGTCTGCTTAATATACATGAACGGTGATGTGGCCTGAATCTCAAAATGGTGAAATGGATGATTGAGATGAATTGGTAATCACTGACAGCAGATTTTCTCCGGTCTAAGATGGTGGTTTGCAGTATCGTCTGCAAATTGACTCTGAGGAATATTGACCAATCCCAATCTGGCAAAGATATCCATACTGAAGCTCCAAATCTTCTCGTTGGAACAATTGGCATTGCCGTTCAGGTGATACAAACCACTTTTTGTAGAGATTACACTTCACATATGCTCAATGTTAGGCGTATCAAAACCCGTCTACAAAATTGGTTTATCTTTTAAGTGGATTATTAGTAAATGGGTGATAATACTCAATTGTTGAATTTCCTTCATCTCTAAAGGTAGTGCAGATAGCGAAGATGACACTAGTTGAACTTTGTATGCTGTGATAGCTTGAGAATTTTCTGTCATCCGTGGTTATTGCAGTGGAGTCATAGTTGAGTTGTGAAATCCAGTTGGTCTCCTGGGTCCTGACTCCTGACCATTAACGGTCTTGTCTCGCAGATTGGTCTTCATGCAGGAGCTGCAGTTCTGCTGCAGGTTTCTAAGTCATGTCGTGTACTTAGTTCCCGGCATACCATCTCATGTATATGCATCCTCAACAATATTTGTACTCTTGTCCACAATGCACATGAGGAAGAGAAAGGAGGGTCTGCTTATGTCAGTACATTTGGTTGACTCTCTTCCTCTACTGCAAAGTTGGTCTGTCCGTGCAAATTGAATGATGGGGAACTCTAGTCACAGCATGCCCCCATCTTGATCACTTGATTTCGCTACATAATCTTTTAGTCTGTTATCCAAATGAATCCATTCCTTAATGTCCTGTTACGGTTACCCCAACCTGATACAGATTGTTTCTGTGATGCGTTGTTTTGAGGGCCAGACAGATCTAGACCATTAATTTTGGTGGAACTTGCAAGGGATCTGCTGATTGAATGCTTCTTTTCTTTTCTTTTTGGCAAACGCCGTGCATGGTAGGGGAAAAACAATTTTACGAGTTCAATAGATAACTTAGTTTTTAATGTTCTGCGGGCGCAAATAAGAATGACAGTTCAATACTTACAAGACAAAAATTTTAGACAGTATTTACTTGTTGACTTAAGTTGGTCAGATGACAATTATAAGGCTAAAGGTCATGTTATGTACACTTAAGCCGCGTTAGCTAATGAAACTTCTAACAAAAAGCATGTTATGAAAGTCAAATACATTTCACGTTATACACGTTATATTTAGGCTGCGTTTGCTTCGCCAGGGGAAATGTATAGGATATTAAGTTAATGTAGTTTTCCGAAATGCCAAAGTGTGTTTGTTTAATTGTGACTTAAAAGTCCTTTGTAAAGCAATTTTGGATAAAATAGTTTTTGTAAAAATATTTTTTGTGAAGGACTTTTTCTATTTTTTATTAAAAAAACCCAAACCCTTCGTTGACTCCGGCTAAGGGCTCAGGCTGTCGGCGAGCTAGATCTTGTGTCGGTGGCTGTCGTATGAGATCGCCCAACCTAAGGTAACCCCTGGGGTGGCCCTCGCCGAGATTATGTGACCCTTGCAACCCCAAGTGGCCCCGCACGGAGGTTGCGCGACCCTAACAAGGGCCACTTGAGGTCGCATGACCCCAGGCGGCCATCGCCTAGGTCACACTGTGTGACCTTGGCTTGGGGCTACTAGGGTTGCGCGACCCTAACCTCCCCAAGCCGAGGTTGTCAGTGAACATAGACCGGCCTCTGCAACTCTTGACAGAGCTTCACCACGTGGAAAGGATGAATAGTTACTTATGACGGCAAAATCAAAAAAAGAAAAAATTGGTGAGGATAATTTTGAAAGAAAAAAAATTATTAATTCTGAGACATGGCCTTCCGAAAATGCCGAAAGCCCAAACATACCTCTCTTGGGCTTTCAGCTTTGCCAAGGTTAATATTTGGCCGAAGAAGTTCCCAAAAAGTTTGCCAAAGACTCCGATTTTTCTCAAGAGCCTCTAAAGTCCCTTTGGAAAGTTGAACCATAACGCGGCCTTACACAGTTTAAGCCGTTTGGTTGCGCACGTGTTTTAAATTGATATCAAACCAAAAGGTCTCAGGTTCAATTTCTCACACTACCTTTTCACCCGTTTATCGGTTTCCGTCCTTTAGGATAAGCCTTGAATGTCAACGAGTCCCGACAAAAAGCAAAGGAAAATCGATACAAGATGCCCACTGAAAGTTTGAGGCAGCACATGTTTGGCCTTGGATTCCCATAGTCCTTTTACCACGGGGGTGTGAGAATGGACTTATGGTTTCCCCAATGGAGGCTCTTCTCTTGGCCGGAAATGGTGGTGTTTGGTGATTTTTGTCAATAACATTTGGGATAGCAATCACGTCCATTGACCCTTCAGCTGGACGACACGAGGTCGGCGGTGGTGCAACCAAACCGGGGATTTATCACCGTTATTTCGCGGCTCTTTCGTCCCTTGACAGCGTAAGGGAAAACATTAGCGCTCGCACCCCAAAAAGTGGTCAAAAGAGGGCGGAAGAAAGTTTAATGCATATTTTATATTCAACAGGATTTATGCGATTCCGAAAAGTGGCCTCAAAGTATATGATATGGTCATGACTGATTGGACCGATGGAGTTCATATTCTAATCATACTTTTTAAACAACTCGTATTTTGATTTACCAGGAAAATTGTCCAATCTATTTTAAACATAATATACGGATGCCAATTTAATTCTAAACTTTTTAATTTTATCAATAAAATATTAAAATTTGCTCAAAATTCCAATATAGTCGTTCCGGCCAACTTCTATCGGGAAATCGCCGACGTCGCAGTGTGCCACGTAGGACAGCCGGCAAGAACTAGACCGCCACGTCGACGATTTCTGTCCAAAATTGACCGGAATGACTAGATTGGAAATTTCGCACAAAATCTCATGACTCAGTCGACAAAAGTGAAAAGTTTATTAGGACCGATTGAGTCATTTTCCCTTGATTTTACTTGTTCTCGATTTGGTAAATGTGGAAAATGACCACCATGATCGTATCAAGAAAAAAAGATATTTCACCAAACCCAATCACTTTCATGTTCAAATATCTTTCCTTTTTTTTTTCTGTCTTTGGCATCACTCTGGGGTCCTATCACTAATATTCACAGGAGAGAAACGCGAGGTGTACCATCTCAATCACCACCTTTCTTTCCACGAGAGAGCGTGGCTAAATCTTTGGTGGGTCACGCCCCCTTCTTTTGTGCTCTGATCTCATCGGTGCGAGCTGCCCTGGATTTGTTCCCCACACGAAGCTTTAGAGCCAGGAAAGAAATCAGAACAAAATGAAAACAAATTATGACAAGATGAAGTCATTGTGACCCTCATGCGAGGTTAATCAAGCACTCCATCATGCACCCTTTGAAGATTCTAATTTGCCCTAGCTGGCAACATTAAGGACATCGAGGAAAATTTTGTGTTTTCCCCTGTCGTTCGTGAAATTAAACTCGACTCGTTTCTAGAAAGGTGTCGATTGTGAGTAGTTTGGATTTAATAGCATTTGCCAACATCCTGAAGGTGTTAATTGACCTTTTCTTTTAGAGAGATGAGTATTGCTAAAAGAATCATCTCTTATGATTTCTTCACCTTGAAGACTATAGAATGTTCTCATAAAACTTGTCTTTTTCATTGAACCGTGAATGACCACGCAAATTTGTTCCGATGCTTATTTCTTGATTGATAAGTATTAAAATACAATAGTTCTTTTTATCATTTACTCTCGTGCAACGTGCAAGGTCATGTCTAGTCATAATATATGTACACATCCATCACCAAATTTTGCGCAAAATGTTGAAATCGGACGTGGACACGTTGTTCGAAAATTGCAAAATTTGCATTAGAGGTCCTCAGTCTTGTATTTGGATTCTAAAATTTTCAATTAGTTCAATGAAGTTCTAAAATTTTATTTAAAATTGCAATAAAGTCTTAAGCCTTTTAATTTGTGCAATCAAGTCATCAACTTTTACTAAAAATGTGATCAAGTCAAAAATCTACATTGACAACTGCAATTTAAGACTTGAATGGGCAATTTATGAGAGCCACATAGGTGATTTTCAGTATTGTTAATCGAAATGACTTGTATCGCGTTTAGTGAAAAAAGCTTAAGACGAAATTGCATCAATTGAATGATTTAGAATTCTATTACATTCCTACATAAGGTTTAGGACTTGCAATGCACTTTTTCCAATAATAAATATTTCAACATGTAAAGAGACCTCGCAAGTGCACAGGGTTGTGAGTCTCGATGTGGGTCATCCGGGTTCGGCTCAATACCGGCCCGGCTCGAAAAGCTGGTCATTTCAAATAGGTCGAGATGATTTTTTTTTGTTCAAAGAAATAGGTCGAGATTTCTTCAAGCCCTATTTGATCCTATTCAAACCGAGTTGACCCTATTTTTTTGGTCGAAAAAAGAGTCATACCTTTTGTATGTGGATAGACATCTTACACAGTAAACATCTTCACCAAGCCAATAAACGGAAAAATTACGTATTAATCACAAATTTGTGATAACTTCTAAATAATTGCAGAATTAGTTTGCTTGACACATCTTAATAACAAATAAATAGAAATTTGAAACCGATGGCTGACCCTATAATTTATAGATTAGAAGTCTCGGACGAAACAATATCTTTAAATTATACTAAAGATGATGTCTTTAAAGAGTATCATTGAAAGCCAACATCGTGCTTATTAGTATTTGTTTCATTGAAAATTGTCGACAAAGTACCTTTTGAAACGTGGATCGATATGGAAATTGATAAAGAACATGAAGGGTCCTTTATTGATTTTTTAACAGGAAACGCAGATTGACGAGAAAATTAAAGGTACGAAGACCGGAGGCAATCGCGGCTAGCCATGTAAAATGGTATTAAAATGTGAAGATAACAAATTCAATGATCATTGATTTAAAAACTTCCATTTTAAGAATATTGCTAGCTATATTATTTATTAAGCAAAACCTATGATCATTTAATCTCAAACTTTTATAAAAAAAAGTTGATAAACACCCTATGAATATATAAAAAAAATGCACTATGACAATACACAACTGTACATGGACAAAATCACAAATTTTGAGGAATTTATGAATATATCCAGTAATTAAAATAATTTAAATATTTTTTTTTAATTTACTTCGTCAGTGATATTAATACCAAAAACGCCAAACGAAAGCATTATATTATTTCTACTAAATTAGTTGTATGTGATGTAATGAGACTTAGTTGAATCATAATGTTGTACTATTACATATAAACCAAAATTGTCTTATACATTTGAATCAATAAATCATGGAAAGAAATAGTCAGTAAAATACACAATATGAAGAAAGTGAGTTCGGTTTTAAGGATCTTAATTATTTTTGCACTTCTAATTGACAATGTCAAAGACTAGAAAGCTAGTATTCCAAAATTTACTTATCTATATGTAAAATTAAGGGTTAATACCGCGAAAAACCCCAAACCGGTACAACTGTGACAATTTTACCTTCCGTTAGTTTCCTTTAAATTTTACCGTCAAATTATTGAGTTAGATGGCACGTGGCAGTTGACGAGTGTTCCAGTTTAGGGTTTTACTCCTCTGTTTGTTATAGGTTTACCAATTTGTGATTTTTCGTGGTATTGATCCTATCTAACGGAAGGTAAATTTGTTACAAGTGTACCGATTTGAGATTTTTGGTGGTCAAAAAATTAGTTTAGGGTAAATTTATCACAAGTGTACCAATCTGGGGTTTTTTGTTATGTTAATCCTAAAATTAATTAAATTGTTCGTAATAATTATAATGCAATATTTCTGGCTATACTACA